TGTCTGTCTGTCTGTCTGTCTGTCTGTCTGTCTGTCTGTCTGTCTGTCTGTCTGTCTGTCTGTCTGTATTCCATCCACTTTTTCAAGTTAAAAACTGAGTTATTCCTACTTCCCTGCATTCAAATATAAATTCTGATCTCTAAATTAATTCAAATTCAGCACTGTCATTTACAAGGCACTCTCGATTTAAATCTCTTCAAGTTTCTCTATTAAAATGGTGCTCAGTCTAAATATCCTCCATTTCCTCTCTCATGTCCTTCATCCATCTCCATAATGCTCCACAATTCTCACACCCTTCTGGTTTCTTCCCTATATTCTGTCTGTCTCTTTCCTGCTGATTAATGAAGGTTAAAGGGCTCTGCTGATGGCCGTGTCAGTGTAAGTTATTGAGTTTAGGGGACATGAAGGGTGTTATGCTGTCTGTCAGTGCAATAATGCTCAATTCTCCCTGACACACGGGACAAAAGCAGCTGAGGACACAAATACGGCTCATTTGCACATGTCCATCACAGATGTCTAAATATACTGGATAAAATATTCCACAATATTCCATAAACATCAATGCACATACACATACAAATATATACACATACATGCACACTGTAAACGCTCTCCAAACGGCTGCTTTACTTCTTCAGTTAACTGTGCAATTGAATTTCAGGGATGCCACACTCAATATTCACTCCACTTTCCTTTTTTGACTGGAGACATGTCCTGAGAGGTGATTTTCTATTACCAGCCCTTACAAACTGCATGCACATGCACAAAAAATACAAGCCACTCTTAATTTACAGTAGTTCAACTGCAGTCAGGTAACTCTCTTGAAAACGTAGTTAGCTACACAGCAAGCTACTAACACATTACATACTGTAGACCATAAGATCTTGATTACACGCTTAGAACAATGTGTTGGTATTAAGGGCACTGCGTTGGGATGGTTTAGATCCTATTTGTCCGAAAGAACTTTCTCAGTTCACGTTGGAGATTTTGTCTCCTCAACTGCTTCTTTCACATGTGGGGTCCCCCAGGGCTCCATTTTGGGGCCTATTTTGTTCTCCCTGTATATGCTCCCCTTAGGACATATTTTTAGGAAATTTGGTATTACTTTTCATTGTTATGCAGACGATACGCAAATTCATCTACCTTGAAACGAAGAGATACTTGCTCTTTAGCACTAAATTTCCTTAATTTTAACGAAAATAAAACAGAATTTATACTGTTTACGC